TATTGCCGATCTGCTCGTTCTCCACGCGAAGGTTGTTCCAACACACCCGACGAAGCATCTCGGCCAGCGCCACCAGAAACGACCGCAACGTCACCGACGCCCGCCCCGGGATCAGGTAGGCTATCCAGGCACTCCGACCCACCACATCCACCACCATAAATACGTAGTACACCGGCTGCGGGAACGAGATCTCGTTGCGCAGCAAAAAGTAGCGCGCCCGCGGCTTGAGCACGCTCCAGTCCATCACCAGATCCCATGCAATGTGCCACACCGAATACACCACCGCGAATACGATCCACACCGCCTTGTCGCCCCCACTGCGAGATCCGTTGCGGCGGTAGTGGATGTAGACAAAGTTGTACACCACCGCCGACGCATACTTGCCCGCATTGACCAGATGCAGATGCGTACGGTACTCGCTATCCACCCAACGACGGATGCACTGTCCCAGTCGCAGGAACGCAGGCACCGCTAACAGCACCGCCGTCCAGTACGTGCTGTTGGGCGAGCATCGATCCGGATGCGCCCAGTCGTGATGCCACTCGCATCCGACGTACCATAGGTTCGACAGCGTCCATGCGATCGAGTTGAGCTCGTCGCCCAGGAAAAAGTCGCGGAACTCGACGCGCTTGCATCCGGCCGTAAACACGCGCGCCACGCTCTTGACGAACCACCACCGACTCGCCGGCAACATGACCGGCAGCGGATTGAGCACCAGCACCAACGCGATCACCAGCCACACCGTCGGCCACGTCGTCGGCGCAATCGCCTCCGGAAACGGATTCACAAACGACACCCAGAAACAGCACGCCAGCAGCAGCATCAGCAGCGCAGGCAGCTCGAAAAACTGGCGCCGGTCCATCGTCGTCCGCACGTCGAATTCAAAGATAAACGTCGTGTTGATGCGCGCCTCGTGCCACCACGCCAGGTTGAGTCCGAACAGCAGCGCAAACAGCGTCGGGATGAATTCGGCGCCGTACACACGCAGCATGGCCTGCCACTGCGGGATGGCGCGGTGCGTGCTCTCCTGCTGCGACTCGATCACGCCGCCCACCACAGCACACAGCGCAATGCCCAGGTAGAACCCGCTGCGGAAGACGCTGTAGTGGTGCGTGGTGTGGTCCTCGCGCGCACGCAGCCGGTTGAGCGCCTGCTTGCGGTTGCCGTGCTCGAAATACGCGGCGTAGATGTCTTCGGTGGCCTTGCGCAGCCGCTCGATGCGGTCCGACGTGACCAGCCGCGTAGGCGCCACCTTGTCCGCATAGTACACCTCGGCACACGCCACCCCAACACCCTTGGAGAGCTTCTTCATGATCTTGGCAAAGCCCGTGCGGTTGAGGATCTTGTAGTTGGTGAGGATGTCGAGGAACTTGTAGTACTCGATCACCGCCGCCTTGAGCTTCTTGCGTGCCGCCGCATACGCTTCCGGGTCGTGGCTCATGGCTGCGGCTTTGTTCGCCTCGCGCATCGCCTTGTCCGTCTCGTCGTCCCAGCCACGCAGGCTCGCCTGCATCTTGGCGAGCGCCTGCGCCCTGCGTCGTCCGCCGGCATCGTCGTCGCTGTTGTCCTGGGCGGCGGCGGCGGCGGCGGCGGGGCCGTCGAGATGCTGCTGCAGGTCGAGCGAGGTGCGGTTGCCCGGCGCCTCTGCCGAGCGGCGTGCAGGAGCAGCAAAGGCAGGGATGGACTTGATGCGGTTCACCACCTCGTCGGCCACCACCATCTTGGAGCCTGGCAGGTTGGAGAGGAGCTGCGACATGCGGTGGCGGTGCGATCCGGCGGCGGTGCGGTCGCGGTCGCTGATGTTGTACTTGGCGCGATACTCGCGCCGATGCTCTGCGAGTTCGGTGAGCTGACGCACGAGCTGCGCGTACTTGCGAGCAGCTTCGTGCTCCTGCGCCTCGTAGAAGGTGACGATGCGCTCGAGCTCGGCGTTGCACGCCGAAAAGATCTTGGCCTCTTCGTCGTCAAAGTGCGTATCAATCAGTTCCTGGAGCGACTTGGGCGGTTCGAGTTTGAAGGAGCGGTTGGAGAGGTGGCTGGACGAGCCGACACGCGAGAGTAGACGCTGCTTGCTCGAGGCGCCCGAGCTGTTGGCTCTGCGTGTGGGATGCGATGCCGATTGGGTCTGATCCGGTCCGTAGGTTACTCTGGCCTGGGGGCGCGGTGGTGGACGCTTGGGCGCAGCTGTCGTCGGATCATCGGAATCGGATTCCGAGACGATGTCAGCCTGGGCGGCTGCCTCGCGGGCTGAGCTGGGCGGAGCGAGCTGCGCCTCGACATCGTGCGAAGGATCGGATCTGGGCGGTAGTTTGCTAGGTTGAGCTGCAGCCGCGTCGGCCACGGCTTCGTAGCTGAATCCGTCGGACGAAAGGCGAAGGCCCGTGCCTTGAAGCGTTACGGGCGGCAGGGAAGGAAGCGCCGCGGCGGGTTGTGGATCGACGGCGCCGGGCGAAGCCGATGCGGGGGTGCGTCTTCGAAGCGCAGGATCCGCCGCCGCACCACCACCGAACGAGCCGGGACCAACGGCGGTGGAGCTGGACTGGGTGCGCGCGATTCCGAGCTCCGCCTCGTATCGAATCCTAGCCTCGCGATGCGCTGCGACGCGCTTGATGAGCTTCTTGAGGCCGCGATACTGGATGTAGACCTTTCTCCACTCGGGCACGGTGTTTTCGTCGAGGTAGCGCGCGAACTTCATCGTTGTGCCAGTCTATACGAAGCAGTGATGTGCAAAGGGTATATGTGTAGCCACTGGCGATCGATATAACAAGTTAGAAGCAAGACATTTCCAGGTCCGGGGCGATTGACTTTGAGTTCCGAAGTTGCGAGTTCCAAAAGAGTGGTGGGGCAGGGCGGGCGAGAGATTGGGTGGAGGTAATGAATGAAGGAAGGAGGGGGAGAAGCCAGAGCCTCGCAAGCCGAGCGAACGCTACTATGGCCGACTGCTGCGCTTCGGAGCGAGGCGACCGAGCTGTGATCAAAGAGTGATGGTGGTGGTGGTGAAGATGGAGTCGATCGATTAGGCTGACTACTCTTCTCTTCTCTTAGCGTCCGTTTTCGGGCCGATGCCGCTGCGAACCAAAAAAAGAACCGTCGGCCGCTCCGAACGTGGACCCTGAAGGCGAAATTCGAGAATAAGTGTTAGGCCTAACTCTAGTGCACACGTTCAAATCGACCCCCCGCCTGTGTGATCTGTGCGTCGTCTGGAGCTTTCGGTGCCTCACTTGCACCACCACCATCACCTCTGGCTACATCGTCCGCCCCCCTCTCGCGGGCAAGCAGCAGCTGCTCACCATGTCGAGGTCGCTCCGTTCGCGTCCCATGACGCTGTACGCGCAAGAGGGCCAACCCGTCATCCCGCCCGTCCCCAGCACGCATGCGTATCCACACGCCTCGTCTTCATCGTCCTCGCACCCGTCCCACTCGCACGACGGCGCCTCGGCAGGCGGCAGCAGCAGCAGCACGCGGCATGTGCTCAAAAAGTCCAAGAAGAAGGCGTCCGAAGTGGGCAGCAATCTCAAGAAGCGTCTCTCGATGCGCTATGCCGAGCCTACGCAGCTGGGCCCGGGCGGGTTCAGCGCTGCGCCTGCAGTCCCGCGCCTGCCGCCCATGCCCGAGATTCAGATCGACGACCGTCCGCACCGCGACATGGACGAGCGCTATCTTGCGCCCATCGCCGAGTCGGCATCACGGCGAGCGAGTGGCGACGACGACGCCGCGTACGATCCGGACGACGCCGAGCTGAATGCGCTGCGCAAGTCGTCTGACACGGCGCGCACGCGCACCGACGTGTTTGAGCGCGATCCCGCCGTAGACCTGCAGCTGCTCAGCCAGGCCGAGTTCGACCCGCAGGCGTATCTGCGCGCCAAGCTCTCGCACCACTCCGAGTCCAGCCTGCGCACGTTCAAGGCGTCGCTCGCCGCCGCCAAGGGCGCCGCCAACGACGACCTCAAGCGACAGGTGTTTCGCAACTACTCGGAATTCATCACCATCTCCAAGGAGATCGCCACGCTCGAAAACGACATGCTCGAGCTCAAGGAGCTGCTCGCCGAGTGGAAGCAGCTACCGCATGCACTCGAGCTCGACGATTCGTCGTCGTCCTTCTCGTCGTTTTCGCGTAATGCAAAGCAGCCGACCAAGACGGCCAATCGAAACAGCACCGTAGATCTGCAGCAGATCTACAGGGCACAGATCACCTCGCTCTGGGAGGGCATCGAGGGCTCCCAAAAGTTCTTGCCCTACGTGCCCGGTCGCCACCTCATCGCCGAAGCCAGCAGCTTCACCGAGCTCAATGCCGCCACGTACAAGCCGCAGCACAGCGTCGCCCTCTTTCTTCTTGACGATCTGCTGCTGATTGCAACGCGTCGCAAGCGTCAGATGAGCTCCAAGGTGCGACTGGTCGCCGAGCGCTGCTTTAGCCTCGCCGAGATCGTCGTCATCGACCTCAAGGACGGCGGCGACTTGACCAACGCCATCAAGATCAAGCGCGCACGCGAGAGCTACGTCTACCGCACCGACCGCGCCCAAGACAAGCGCGCGCTCCTCAACGCGTTTCGCCGCGTCGCCGAGGAGCTCGCCAAAAAGCGCCGCCACGACGCCGACTACGGTGCCGCCGAGGCGGCCAAACGTCACTCGACGCTGCTTGCCTCTCCCACGCTCGCCCAGATGGGAATCGAACGTGCCGACGGTGCATCGAGCCTGTTGGCTGCGTTTGATTCCTTGTTGACGCCCATCGGGGAGGATGGTGAGGGTGGTGCGGGGGGTGAGGTTGGCGTGATGGCGGCAGCGGCAGCAACCGCTGCGTCCGAACGCAAGGATCCCGGTCGGTGGAACAATGAGTTTGCCGACGAGTTGGCGGTGTGCATTGCGCTGCGCGAGTGGGATCACGCCGTAACGCTCATCGAAAAGGGGCGTGGGGTGTTGTCGACATACACCTCTTCGGATGCAGCGTCGATTGATCTTGCCTCCAAACTGGCGGTGCGGGCGCAGGAGTTGGTGACGGCGATTTCGGGCGACTTTATGCGGCAATCGCTCAAAAAGTCGGCCGTGGTTCGCAATGCCTCGTACCTGTTACGGTTGGATCGAGGCGAAGAAGCGAGGAGGTTGTTTTTGGATGCGCGCACGCAGCTGCTCAAGAAGCGCACGCGCCAGATCAAGTTCGAGGGCGACACGGGGCTCTACATCTCCGAACTCGCCACGGTGCACTTTACGCTCATCCGCAATACGGCCGAATGGTACATGGCCGCCTTCAAGGACGGCAAGATGGCGAGTGGATTTGTCCAGTGGGCGTGCGAGCGCGTCCAAGAGTACGCCGAACTTTTCAGAAGACAGGTGTACGGCGTGGAGCACGAATCGATCCAACAATCCGCACTGGTGAAGGAGGTTACGCAGATCACGGTGCAGCTCGCCGCCATGCTCAAGGACGTCGGATTGGACGTGAGCTTTTTGCTCGAACCCCTGCTCGAACCGCCACCCACCAATGCCCAAGCTGCCGATACCGTGCCAAAGCTCGTCTTTACAAGGTCGAGTAGGCTCGATCTCGGGACGCATAGTAGCGAGCACGAGAGAAAACCCCATGCGTCTGCACAGGAACTGCGTCGTCAAAGCGTCCTCCCCGCGCGGTCATAGCTCGGTACCAATTGCACATCTCTTTATCGCACACTCATAACCGGACTGAGGACTAGCTTGAGCGCAAGTTATAGATACACAGGTAGCGAAAGCGAAAAGCGGGGGGGGGGG